TGCATCAGTCTCTCTATCCATCATGTATATATATATATATATATACATATATATATACAGAGAGAGAGATAGATAGATAGAGAAAGAGGGAGGAAGGCGGTTGTTGTTTGTACCTTTATTTATGTTTGGATAGTGCTTCTTTCTTTCTTTCTTTTTTTCTTTGTTTTTGTTTTTTTTTCTTTTTCTGTGTTCCTTCCCCTATTATTGTTGTTTTGTTCATTTGGGTGTGACCGTTTAGTGTCTGTGCGTGCTTTTTTTTTTCTTCCTGTGCGGTGTTGCTCTTTGATGTGGGGTTGTGTAAAGTTGTGGAGAAAAAGTAAAATAAAAATGCAACGAAACAGACGTGAGAAACAAAACAAAACAAAAACAAAAACAAAAAGAAGCCGTCATGGTGGGAAACGAGGCTTGTATGCTGACGGCTGTCTTGTTGTGTGTCTATACCTTGTAACACTCTGGTCTTTGTCTTGGCTTTGTTTTTTTTTTTTTTCTCTCACCGCAAAAAGGACGGGCTGCGTGGGTCTGGGTTGGGGGCAGCACAAGGGAAGGAAGAAGCAGCCTCCGCGTATGGCATCTTTTGGGGGCGATCGTCCGACGACAACGACGGCGCCGGCGCGAGCTGCAACGGCGAGGCACGGCGGCGGGCGCAGCCGCAGCAGGGCGAGTGCCGGGCGGCGGGCGGTGAAGGCGGAGGATCTCCGGGCTCAGCTGTTGCAGCGCACGATGCAGCTTGTGGAGAAACTTCTAGACATCCACGTCCACAACACCCTCTCGGTCGCCTTCGCGGAGCTGCAGCAGAGGGAGCGAGACGCGGCCCTGATGAATTCCTTCCCAACGTCTTTTTCGGAGTCGCGTGTCAAGGGCGAGGAGGCCCAAAAGTACACAGTGGGTCGCTCTCACACTTCTTGCAGCGGATCAGGCGCGAATGTCTCCGAGTTGGAGCAAGCGATACGAGAACGCCTGCAGGAGGAATGCCGCGTCGATGCCGCGATCGCTGCAGAACATCTGTTCGCGTCGCCGCAGGATGATGGGTTTCTCTTCACCGTGCTGCGACGACTGGCTTCCATGACGGAGGCGGAGGCAAAGCAGGAAATTCGTGGTGCTGTGGCGCAGTACGTTGACCCACACGTGAAGGCGTTTTGGGAAATGAAACGGTTGCAACGGGAAGCTGACGGTTACAGCAGCGACAGCAGTGAGCTGAGGAGTGTGCAGGAGGCCGTTGACCGCGCCATTTCGGAAAAGAAGGCGGAGTTGGAGAGACATCGTGCCACCCAGACAGCGTTGCGGCGGGCTGATCGCGTGAATCGAGTGAAGACTGCATTTTCCATGTTGAAAAAAGACGTGGGGAATGTCTTCTCCCTGCGCTACGTTGTGCCAGAGCCGTACGAGGCTTTGCCTGACCTTCGATCAGCCGAGTCACTGTAGCGGCTTCGGGTGCGGGTACACCAGCAGCGCCTGGAGGAACAGGAAGTGCAGCAACAGTTGGAGGCAACCCGTGCTGCCGTCAACGAAAGACTGCAGGTGCTGCGAGACGACGTGGAGGCTGTGCGAAGTGCGATCGACCGTGCGCGGCAGGAGATTACTACTAAAACCATGGACATTGAGGAGCTGCGAGCAGCGTCTGGCACAAACTTGGCAGACGACCAAGCTGCGTGTGATGAGGACGCTGATGAGGAGAGGGAGGGGGGCAACATGGGGAGGAACGCGGCAATAACGGGGACAACAACGAGGAGGGACGGGAGGAATCTGTCGTGGGCAGGGCAGATGCTGCGGCTGGAATTCGAGCTGGCCGAGGCAACGGCGGAGGAACCCCATCTAGAGCTCAGCTGTGGACAGCTGCGGCGGCGTCTGCAGTTCCTCACAGCCGAAAAGAATCTTCTGGATGTGGCGCTTGCTACCGATGAGGAGGCACTTACGCGATCTCTTGCGGAGAAGGAAGAGCTTGCGCAGACGCTCACGTCGGGCCTGGAGAAGGCACGGGGAACAGTCCTGCACCTGCGGCAGCAGCAACAAATTTTGGTGCGGGAGTTAAACGGCATGCGGGAGGTGATGTTGCATGGACGCTCCCACGGACTCTCGACACGTCGAGCCCTCAAGTCACGCCTGTTGAGAGGAGCCTCGGAATTGGCGCTTGAGAAGCGCCTGCATGCACGCCTCACAGCGCAAGTGCAGTGGCAGCAGGAGGAGCTTCGTCGGGCGCAGCAGGCGGTGGCGTCGACCCAGGCAAGGGTGCTGCCGATGACGAGCAACGCACAACAGATGGAGAGCTTCAATTGCGTGGTGGCGCTGGCAAAGGAGGCGGCCCGGTGGATACCTTCGGAGGGCAACACTGAACCGACGTCGCCGCAGACGGAGCGGCCCGAGTCGTACATTCGGAACCGCGTTGTAGAGTGTCACGATGCCTGCTTGCGGTTGCGTAGTGAAATGGCGAAGGCGATCAGCGAGGACGAAGCCCCGCGGCTTGTGGCGCAGCGGCGGCTGGACGTCTTGGAATATCAATTGGCCGAATGGAAGCTACGCGAAGAGGCACTTCTCATTGCAGCTGTGGAGCCGTTCCAGACAGCCGCCATGCATGCGTCGACCCTCCCTGTCCCGTTACCAACAGCTGCGGCTCTGCGGCAGGAGGGGGCGCGGCTGTACGCGTGCGTGTCCCACACGCTGCACCGTGGCAGCCGCTGCAGGGCGCTCCTGCAGCTGATGCAGGTCTACAAGGATCGTGCGTCGCGCGGGGGCAGACCTCAGGCGCTTCCATTTAGCCCTGCCGAGTCTCTGGTGGTGAGTTCCCTGCAGCGTACCACCTCGCCTGCCGTCTCCGCCGCCGCCGCCGCCGCGTCGATGGATCGGCGGGAAGCAGCGACAGTCACACAAGCGCCGTTTTCCCCCGCGGCGGTGCAGCGGCGGATGGTGCTGCAGTTCATCAAGAATGAACTTCAGCCACTGTACGACTCCTGTCAAATCTCGCGTGTTCGTTTTATGGGCGTCGTGGAGCGCGTCTCGCGCTGGTTCCTCACCACCCACCCCGTGCCGCAGCCCGTTCTCGCAGAGAACGAGCAACGGGCCATCTGCCAGCAGATTCAAGAGGCACTGACGTGGCAAGACGGGCATCGACCGCAGCGGCGTAGTGCATGACGTGCGACCACGCTAAAAATGGTGTCCCATTGAGGGAAATTACATATCGTACTACAACAACATGTGTCTCTCTTTATTCCCATTTGTTTTGTGCACTGCCACACTTCCGCCATCCACACTCTTTTCCACCGCTTTTTTTTTTGGTTTTCGTGTTTTCGCAGTTTTGTTTTGTTTTTTACCCTCTGTGTGTGTGTGTGTGTGTGTGCAAGCTGGTGGCATCCGCGGCGAATATTCGCTTCTAGGCCTCTATGTGTATATAATTATATACGGATTGAGGCAAAACTTGGAATCGGGATTGCGTGCTTGCCGTGATGTCTTTACCTGCGATTTCCTCCATCTTTCTCTCTTTCCATATGTGCGAGTGTGCGCGTCTTTTTGTTGTAGTCGCAACTGTTCCTGCTGCTCCTGCTGCTGTAGGCGGAACGATGAGCCGGCTTCGTGTGACGCCGAAGGGCAAGGTGAAAAAGAATATCCCTGTCACCCGGGTGGGGAAGAAGCAGTACCTCAAGCGGCGCTTTGCCCACGTTCGCCGCGTGGATGTGGCTGGCGCGAACAATCACTTTACGCAAAAGTACTTTGATGGCTCCAACACCGCCGCGCAGAACTTCACTCGGCTCGGTCTTGCAACGGACCCGAGTGCCCCCAAGGCCATCGTGGAACTGCGCAAGAAGCAGGTGCGGCCAAATTCGCGTCGTCGCCTAGAGGAGGAGGACGCGCTGGCAGAGCAGAAGGCACAGCGGCAAAAGTCCCGTGTCGGTAGGCCCGTCAGTGAGGCGGAGGGCACCACCATGGTGAACCTGATCCAGAAGCACGGCACGGACTTCAAGGCGATGTCGTTTGACCGCAAACTCAACCCGTTTCAACTTAACCCGCGTCAGCTGCAGCGGCAGGTGGTGAATTACCTCCGCTGGCACCAGGCCGCCTTTCCAGCGGCGTTTGCGGAGGCCGAGGCCAAAGGTTGGTTCTCCCTCGCCGAGTACAGTGACCCGAGACATAGGTTAGGAAAGAAGTGAGAGCCGTGTGGATGCTCCCAACAGAGAGAGGAGGAGGAGGGGAATGCACGCAAAGGAAGTTGTGTTGCACATGGCGAACACGTTGATAGTGATGCGTGCACAATTTGCTTGGGTCTGTGCGTGCCTGCATGTGCAGTAGGAACGAGCGGAAATGGGCCGTGGGCGCTGCACGTGCCTCCCACCCTCTCTTTATTTCTCTATATATATATCTCTCTCTGTGTGTGTGTCGAATCATATGTATTTGTTATACGTATGAGCCTGCGTGTGTCCTTTACAGTTGTGGCGGTGTAAGAGGTGGTGCGGTGCGTCGAGTAAAAGGAAACAGCACAATAAGAACAAGAAAAAAGAACATATTATATATATGTTGCCTCCTTTCTTAAGAGAAAAAAGGAGTAAGCAAACAACGGACAGGCGGGCTTCAGTGAAGGAGGGAAAATGGACGATGTCACGGAGAGTGAGGTGAGCGGAGAAGAAGGGGGCATGCGTAAGAGGTTGTGACGGGGTTGTCTTGCCGCGTGTGCGTGCCTGGCACCGTGCGTCCTTTGGTCATTGCCAGCGCCTTCTCCGTTTGCATTTATTTCTCATGTTTGACTTTTCTTCTTTGGGTTCTTTGTTGCCATTTAACGCCTCCGTTGTTCTCAGCACATACATGTCAGTCTTTCCGTCTGTTTCTCTATATCTCTCTCTGTGTGTGTGTGTGTGTATTTACTGCCGCATCCCCTTTTTGGGCCTGTGGTGATTCACCGGCCTGCATGCGTACGTCACACCCCCACCTGCACTGTCTCTTCCACCCAAATGGACCTGCTGGCGACAGACATTTAATAGAAAAAGTGAGGCGACCACTTTGTTTTAAGCAAAACAAAAAGAAATAAATAAGAGGAAAAAAAGAAAAAAACGGAATCAAAAAGAAGAAGAAAAAAAAAAAGATGTCCTTTCAAGAAGTCGGCGTGGGCTTTGTGCGGCAGTACTATGAAATCTTCTCGAAGCAACGCGAGCAGCTGGCCGGTGTGTATCGCGCCAACTCGCTGATGACATGGGTCGGGGAGCAGCTGCAGGGTAACGCGAGCATCATGGCCCGTCTCACCAGCCTTGGCTTTAACGAGGCCCTCTTTAAGCCGGAGGACATCGACTGTCATCCGTCCCTCAGCAACGGCGTGCTGGTGGTAGTGAATGGCGAGGTGATGTTGAAGGATGAGCGCCACCCGCTGAAGTTTAACGACGTGTTCCACCTGGCGCAGGACGGAGGCCAGTGGTACATCTCAAACCAAATTTTCCGCATAGTCGGTGGGGGCGGACAGTAGAAGATGGTCCATGACCCCCTCCACCATGAACGCATGCATACAAACAGAGCGAGGAACTATGGGAATTAAACGCAGCAAGTTCATCTCCACGGACGTATGTGTCCACGTCTTGAGAGAGAAGATGGGGACAAACAAGAAGAAGCAGAGGAAAGAAGGGATTGGAGAAGAACAGAAGGGTAGAGAAAAAGGTGGGGGGAAAGTGAAAGTAACGGAAAACAGAGCTGGAGTGGTGGGGGAGGGGGAGGGGGA